AGGTCACATAACTAAATTTGAAGCAACTTATCTTTTTCTTTATAAAGTATTCTTACCTCTTCACTTTCTGATCTCTTTTTCTCTTTTTCTCTTTTCTTCTTACTGTGGGTTATGGAAAAGGAAAGGGGTCCTTTTTAGCTGGTGCGTTGAAAATCCAGAGAAAATGTCTAGGTTTTGAGATTCCCATGAACTTAGTTTTCATACACTTCCGAATTAAGACCTATTTATGCAAAATTCTATTCGAGGTTTCTACCTGCTTCTTATAACTATTAATTTACCCCTCAAGAAAAAACTGATAATGATAGATTTAGACTCTGCTATTTTTGCACTGTGGACAAGCTGTTTTGGCAACACATAGTTGGAAGCATTTTAACAAACGATCATATTTATGTACCCCAACTGCCTTTAGGGAACTAATTTGTCCTCAAAGCACAGCAGTTAGTCTACCACCTGGTTAATTCCCATGATTGCCACCTTTAGAGTATACAAAATTGAATTATAGCACACAATTTAATTAGAATGGACTAGCCTATTTTAGCCAAAATTAATTAACAGTTTCATTCCCTGGGATAAAAGGGTTATTTCTAGGCTCTCGCACACAATCAACTCAAACCTGCTGCTTCTTATTGTAACTGGCCAGCTCTGTACCTTTTACTCTCCTATCCTGGCTAATGGAGTTTACGTCCTGTGACAGCTTTATCTCCTGGGACACTTTTAGGAACAGTTATCAGTCCATTAATAACTACTTTTCTTTCTGATGTGAGCACGTGAGAGAGCTAATCAGTTGTTTACCCTAATTAACTTGTAAGTAGACTAAAACTAAACTTTGCCTCAGGCTAATTTCTGCCTTAAAATGCTTTTTAAAAGTTGATTTAACCTGAGAGTAACATTTGAAATCTGCAGTTTCAATAAATCACAAGTACCTGCCCTTTTTCTTTGTAGTCTGACATTCCTAGTTTACATACTCTGTAATATTAGACTATAATTGCTTTCTTAGTGATGAGTGAGGGAAGGATTTCCCTTAAATGAACTGGTTTTGGGGAAACTAAATAGCAAACTAGATTCTTTGTTATAAGAGATGATTCTTTGGAAGGGGGTTGGGTGTACAGGGGGAAATGTGGACAGTGTAAAAACAGATTATATTTTAAAAAACTAAATAGCAAACTTAGAAAGCTTGAGTCACATCTGTTTGCCTTCATGCAGCTAATTAGGAAAATGAGTAGCTTTTATTCTAGATATTTTGGTGTAGTTTAAGGGATATATTTCAGTTGATCTTATTTATTCAGGATAGTGTTTTTCACCAGCTTAGCTAAGAGATCAATCTTTATTTGCATGTAGAAAATAGTGATCCAAGGGGCAGCTAGGTGGCACAGTGGATAGAGCATTGGTCCTGGAGTTAGGAGGACCTGAGTTCAAATCCAGCCTCAGAGACATGATACTAGCTGTGTGACCCCGGGGAAGTCACTTAACCCCGATTGCCTCGCAAAAAAAAAAGAAAAAGAAAGAAAGAAAAAAAAAATAGTGATCACTAAGCGCTAGCATAGGTGCATTAAAATCATAGCAGCCTATCTCTTTCCTGGATAGGGGACTGGTGCTATCTCTGGTCATCCTGATCTATATCTCTGGACTCAGATGGCTCTGGAGGAGAAAGTGAGGCTGGTAACTTTGCATAGCCCTCCCTCACTTCAATCCAATTCACTTGCAAGTCACAGCATCACCTTTTTGATGCCGCGGTCCTCTTCAAGAACAAAAGGACAAACAACAACAGACTGGTGCCATCAGGAGATTGTTGTAAATGGCATGTCTTGTTTCAGCAAGGTGCTTGAAAAAATCTCTCATGGTATTCTTAAAGACAGGATGGAGAAATAGGGCAGGGTAGTTAAGCGCAATTATGAATTATCAATTATGAAATTGAACAGCTGGACCCAAAGAGTGCTAGATCGAATGATGGATTGGTACCAGCATAGTCAGATGTCTTAAGTTGCCTGTTTCAATGTTCTGTAGCCAACATTTTTGTTGGGCTGATGAAAGTAGGCTTATCAAATTTGGAGAGGTAATAATGAAAAGCTGAGAAAAAATAGTGACTATATTGGTAGAAACAAAAAGATGTTTTTCCTCTATTTAGTAGTGTTATTTTTTTCCAATTACATGTAAAGATAGTTTTCAACATTCACCTGTATAAGATTTTGAGTTCTAAATTTTTCTCCCTCCCCAAAACAGCAAGCAATCTAATATAGGTTATACATGTGCAATCACATTAATCATATTTCCACATTAAAGATCTTGATGGGCTAGAGTAATGAGCAAAAACAAGTGAAATCAGATAGATAAATGTGAAGTCCTTAGATTCAACAAAATCTATATATGTGCTGAATGGGGGAGATGAAAATTTATGTTAAACAGACCAGGACTCATTTGGCCTGGATTTAAGTGCGACTTACTTCCTAGAAAGGCTCAATGTAGTCTTGGACTGTTATCAGATCTAAATGTAGTTCCCAGAACAAGGAAAGGTAGTAATCTTACTGTCTTCAGTGTTGATCAGATCACACCTTAAATACTATGTTCATTCTTGGAGATTATGTGATTTGAAGAAGAGATGATGTTCCTGAGGACAGTTTAACTCAATAGATTGGGGGGGGTAAGGAAGGTACAGCAAACATGATATCTGTCTTTGGTTTAAGGGCTGTCATGGGAAAGGGGAATAGATTTAGTCACTGTTTTCAAGTGCTAGGACCAATGAGTAGATGTCATAAGGAAGCAGCTTTTTGCTCAGCTTATGGAAGAACTTTGTAAAAATTAGCAGTGGAATGTGAAAGTGAGCTGCCCATTATGCAGTGTTCAGTCAGAGGCTGGATGTTTCTCTGTTGTAGTGGAAAGTATTGGACTTGTAGTCATGAAGAGACATGAGTTTGAACTCGGATGGTCCCAGAATTTCAGCCTCTGTTTTCTGCACCCACAAAACAGGGTTGATGACAACCTCACAGGGTTGCAGTGGCTATCAAGTGAAATGAGATTTCTGAAGTGTTTTGTAAACCTTAAAGCACTTATCAATGTCAGTTATTTTTATTTATTAATATCCTTGGTGAAACTTTTCTCGATTTCACCACAAGACTTAAAAAAAGGTGGATAATTTGATATCTCATTTCCCCATCAGATAACATCTTAATCTTGAATTTCCTTAGAAGCTAACATGGTGCTCTGCTTAATGCTTGCTGTATAAAATTGATGAAGTAGAGAATTTTCCTCTTTCAGTGGACTGAAATTGAATCAAAAGATGATCCTTCATTGTTTCCAGTTTCAATGATTCGGAAATGCCCCACAATACATGGTTGTTGGTCATAGCTAATGGAACAAGTTCTGGAGTACTTAATTATAGGTAGTAATTGGCTAATTTCTGTTAAGCAAAGTTTTGGTAATAACACATGTTTTTCCCCCATTCTGATACATAAAGTCAAGATACCAGAATATTCAAGTTAGTCTGTCTCCAGGAAGAAGTTTGTAGTTCTCCAAGAAAAGCAGTTTTCAGATTGAAACACAATGAAATTTGTAGTAATTACATTTTCATGGGTATCTGTAAGGTTCTGCCATCCTCACTAGTAGCAAGCTTTCTTTAATATCCCTGAAACTATTAAACAGGTATTTGGGCAGTGGTTGAAAGGAGACAGTGGGGCTGTTGTAACAGATAGCTTTTGAGGAGTTCTGCCTATTTGGTCTCCTGACATCCATGCCAAGAGGCTGCTTTGTTCCCAATCACTAAAGACAAAATTGTACTATTGTAACCTTTGTTCTTAGAGACAAAGATGACTTTCTTTGAGCACGTGAGGGCATTACCTTTATCAGTGTGTATTGACTTTCAACATAGAATTGTTTCTGGATAATGCCTTAATATAGTAAATTTAGTTTTGTGCCGCTTTTAGTGTATTAAAAGGTGACAGCCTACAGAGATACAACTCTCCCTTTCTGTCTCTTCCCCCAGTTCTTTAACTGTGAACCCCTTTTTATCTGTTGCAGTAGGGCAAAACTAGATCTGGCATATATTGCAGTAGGTAGTTTTCCTAGACTTTGGGGGTACCCCCCGTAGGCACTGATTCTAAATTAAGTTCTTTCCTATGATGGAATTCTAATAAAGCTGTCCCCAGCCCCCATATTCTAACTTCCTTATAGGCCTCACTGAACAGCAGGCATGTCCCAATTTAACCACACCACAGGCCCCCAAACTCAATCATAGGCCTCACTGAACAGCAGGCCCACTGCCCCTACCTAGCCACTGCCCTCCCCCTGCCCCCCAACATCCTTACTTCTTCATATGTCACTAGAACAGCAGGTGTGACCATGTGATGGAATGCTAGCACTGCCCCCAGACCCATTCCTCATATTTCCCACAGAAACAAGAGCTGTGTCCACACACTCAACCATAACCACATCCATCTAATCTCAGGACCACAATAGCCAGCCAGTAAGAAAGCAGCACCACTAGGATGCCCAAGCAAGATGTAGACCCTAAAATAATAGAAAGGACTTTACCTGGGTAGGCACCTGTGCAGTCGTAGCAAGAGCTGCCCTTTAGGTGAACTTATGATGTGGAGAGGCTTTTTATAATATGTATCCATGCCCCCTCCCACAAATGGGTTTTTCTGTATGCATTGTGGGTAATAGCATGCACAGTTCCACCTCGGCTAGGACCGCTTCCCGTTACCTAATCCACAAACCCCTTCTGCTTTTTAATCAGAATTACCTGTCTTGTTCCTCTTGGAACTCAGCCTGCTGGAGATCTTAATCCTCAATAAATGCCTTTGCTTGGATTGGAGGTGGTCTGAATCTGAATTCTTTAAGATGACACCCCCACAACACCCCATGAAACCATAATCCTTGGAGGCTTGTTGAAGGTGTTGGATCTCTTCACATTGAAACAATTTCACTCTCCAGAACTCCCCACCATGAAGCTGGCATTAAGCAAACCAGGTTCTTTGTTTAATTGTCTCATCTTTCTCTCTTAACAGGGTAACTTTGTCTGCCACAGAGTGTTACATCGTTCACGAAATCTACAATGGAGAGAACGCCCAAGACCAGTTTGAGTATGAGTTGGAGCAGGCTCTGGAGGCACAGTACAAGTACATAGTTATAGAGCCCACCCGGATTGGTGATGAGACTGCCCGATGGATCACTGTTGGGAACTGCCTGCACAAGACAGCCGTGCTGGCAGGCAGTGCCTGCCTCTTCACCCCACTGGCACTTCCCTTAGATTATTCCCATTATATCTCCCTGCCTGCCGGCGTGCTGAGCATGGCCTGTTGCACCCTCTATGGAATCTCCTGGCAGTTTGACCCCTGCTGCAAATATCAAGTGGAGTATGATGCCTATAAACTTTCCCGACTGCCTCTGCATACGCTCACTTCCTCCACTCCTGTGGTGCTGGTGAGGAAGGATGACCTGCACAGAAAGAGACTGCATAATACAATAGCACTCGCTGCCCTGGTGTACTGTGTAAAGAAGATTTACGAGCTTTATGCTGTATGATTTCAGTAGAAAAGGGAGAGAGAGAGAAAAACACCCACAAAAGACAACAATGTATTAAGATTTCCACAGTAACATTTTTTTTCCTCTGAAATGCAATGGAGACTGGGAAGGTGTTTGGTTTAATATTTGTTATTTTTCAGAGTAAGACAAATCACTGCTACACCAAGGGATTTTTTTTCAGCTCATTACACTAAGATGTGGATCTGCAGTGACTCAAGACATGTTCTAGGCTGTGGAAGTCTGATTGAGCAGTGGAATGTTGATGGAAGCAAACTATGTGAAGGGGGGTGTGAAATGCTTTTTTGGGGGAGGGGGGAACCTTTCAAGTATATTGTTTAACTGTACCATCCAGAGCCAGCCAGAAGCTATTGACCATTAAAATAATGAGCATTTCAAGTGTTTTCTCTCTCCATCCTTTTCTATGTACCTACTTTAAGGATCAGCTTTAGGATGTGGCTTACAGCTGAGAGTAATAAGGTTGATCTGAGGAACAAATTGTGTCTTTGTACTTACAAACAAAATATTTTGAATCTTAAGTTTGTTTATGAGAGGTGCCTTCTGCACCACAGTGAAATCCATTTGAATGGGGTGAGCATAGTCAACCAAGGGTCCCTATCCAGTAGATCTCAAAGCTTTAATTTTACTTTTACTCTTTTTTGCTTTCACTCTTTTGGTTCAGCTTTGTTCTATGGAGGACAGAAGAAGAGCACTATGCTGCCAGCCAGGTGCTCATCCCTCCTTCTCTGGACTTGACATATTACTCTACTCCCCAGTGATTTCAAGACTTCCAGGAAATGTGAAGGAAAAAAATCTTTTCTCCTGGATGATAAACACCTGTTTAGTTTGTTAGCTGCTTTCTCTCTTCTAAGTGGCTATTTGCTAGACTGCCAGATTCACTAGTGACTTAGATTTAAGGTTTTAAAACTGTCAAAAGGTCCTTTCTCTAGAGTTGAATGCCCAAAGCATTCACATGTTGCTTGCTGAGTCATGGTCTGGGGGGCAAAATGGTGTTGGGGATCTAGTTTTTGAGTTTAACAATGAACTTTTGCAGGTGATTTGCCACTGGCCACAGGGAAAGTAATCCCCAGTAAATCTGTACTTGATTCTGCAGAGCTAATTGAAATCCTGTTGTAATGATGATCTCTCTTGAGGATCTAGAAGCTTGTTACCTACTTGAAAATCCTGTTTTGCTTGAATGACAAATATTTATATAACAGGCCCTGACTTGGGAAAGGAGCCACTTGCCCTGTTTGGAAATGTTCTGCCTGTAAATCAAATTTCAGGTGGTATGGTGGCTTGAAGTAGGTAGGCCTTCACTTGAGCAATGGAAGATCACTGTTGCCAGCTCAGGAGGTGTAGGCAGAAGCTTTTACCCTTGAAATAAAAGCTGTGTAAACAGGTATACTTGTTGTACCACTACTTTCCAAACAGCATTTAACAAGGTATATTTTGTTAAGAGAATAATCCAAATACTGAAACACTATCCTTTTTACATTTTCTGTAGCCAGGCAGACTGAATTCATCACTTTTGTAAATAAGACAAGAAGTTTTAATCATTGGTATCTACACAAGTAATGGACCTTGTCAATAAGGAAACTTGAAAACATCTTATCCTGGCATGTGCTATAATTGACAGTAGCAAATTATGCTCCCTAGTATGAGGGTTAACCATTTTATCTCATCCTTATTGCGGTTTTTTAAAAACTGGCAATTCTTCATTTGTAGTGGGTTTTTTTGTTTGTTTTTTATTTTTTTAGTTCTAGAGATGGGGCATGGCATAACAGTCATGCCCTATAAAACTAAGGTATTATGTTAATCCCAGTGCTAGTTTTAGACCATGGTAATGTAAATTCAAGTGTGAATTTTTGCATTTTGTGGAGAATAGATCATAGAGAACATCAATGACGTTTTTATAGTATTTTGTTGCTTCAAAGCACTTTATATACATTATTTGATTTGAGCCTCAAGATGACTTTAGGGCAAGTGTTATTCTCTTTGCAAATGAGAAAACTAAGGCACAAATTAAATGATTTATTCAAAGTCACTTTATTTGGTGTTTTGAGAAGAATGCAAACCTTCCTGCTTTATACATGTAAATCTTAGTTACCTATAATCTTAATAGGAAGGGACCTTAAGAGTTCATCTGATCTAACCTGAACCTTAGCCAACAGACTTTTCTAAGTCTCTGAACAAGTGAAAGCCTCCAGTGATGGGAGGGAAATCCATTATCTCCTGAGGCAGCACGTGGCACTTAGTACTGTCATAATTAAAAAGGGTTTTGTTTTGTTGCGGGTTTTTTTTTTCCATCTTATATTGAGCAGAAATTTTCATTCCTGGGGCTTCCACCCATTCCTCCTAATTCTATCTTATGGGGTCAAGCAAAACAAATCTAATCTTTTCACAAGACAGCTATCATTGCTCTATCCCTTTACTCCCCCCTCCATGTATTCTCTTTGCAAATCTAACCTTGTTAGTTCCTTTATCCAAACCTGGTATTGCATGGTACTTGATCTCCTCATCCTGGTTATCCTTCTGTGGACCTATTGCAGCTAGTAAATGTCCCTGGCAAATTTTTCAAGCTCAGTTTCACTTTATATCATCATTCATTCACTGAAAAACATCAATTGAATGTGCAAACTGTACTATGTAAGAGCTTACACTAAGTATGAAGAACAAGACATGGTCTTTGCCTTCATGCAACTTGAACCAACTTCCATTTCAAAGTCTTCTGTAACCTTACAGCTGGTTAAGAAAACTTGCTAGGAATCACTTATTTCTGATAGCTAATAAACTAAATATATAATTTTTAGTAATCCAGATGCCTAGTGCAACCAGCTCTATAGGAAAATTTTACTAATTTGGGGGTCAGTGAAAGAGTGGTGATGTTACATAAATCTATATGAGATAGCTGGAGAAGGAAAATAAGTAGCAAATCTAAGGCTTGGAAAGAAAAACATGGGAGACTTACTTGAACCTATGGTTTGTAAGTTCTTTGTGGAAGAGTTCTTAAGAGTTTAGTAGAGGGAACGTGTAGCTTTACAGGTATGGCAGGGAGAACTCTGACAAGGTGACTGGTCTAGCTGCTTGTAAACCCATCTTAAGCTAAACCAGAGTAGTGGATGCCATGCTATTCTGATGCTTCCATATTTACGCTTGACTTTTTCTCAAGAGAATAGTAGGATGTCGTTTGATGTAAAGAGAATCAGAACCATGCTGCTGTGTTGGACAGAAGTAACATCAAACTTTTCTACTGTTGGCAAGTTAATGGTATTCAGGTACTCATTAGGAAAAAAAAAAACACATTAAATCCCAGGAGCATGGAACTAATGAACTTTATGGCTCATCATTCAGATTGCACAAACAATTCAGAAAAATTAATTTATTGGGCAGCAGCCCATCTGAGCTCACACCAGATAATGGTAAAGGGTTTTTGTCTATTTGAAAAGTCCTGTTACAACTATCTTCATTTGATTTAATACCATGAAGACTTTAAAGAACTATCTTATCCTAAAGCAATTAGCCATGAGTAAATCTAGGCTCAGCTCTTTCCCCATTTAATTTCAGGCTTGAATGCTAAACATTTCAGTATTAAGTCCCTACATTATGTGTCAAGCACTGTGCTAAGTGCTAGTGTTTTTGTAAACAGGCAAAAGACAGTATCTGCCCTTAAGGAGCTCACAGTCTAATGGGGGAGATAACACGCAAATATATAACAAATATATACAAAGTAAGCTATATACAAGACAAATAGGAAACAGAGGGAAGGAACAGGAATTAAGAGGAGGTAGGGAAGGCTTCCTGTAGAAAATGGAATTTTGGTTGGGGCTTCAGGGAAGTCAACAGTCAGCCGAGGTAGGAGAGTGTCGTAGGCATGGTGGACGATCTGAGTGTCTTGTTCCGGGAACAGCCAGGATCCAGCATCACTGGATCACAGTACACAGGGGAGAAAGGTATAAGAAGACTGGGAAGGTAGGAGGGGACTAGATTATGAAAGGCTTCTGAATGCCAAGCAAAGCATTTTGTCTTTGATCCTAGAGACAATAGGGAGTTGATTCAAGAAAATCACTTTTTAAATGTCTGAATGGAGTGGGGAGAGCCTTGAGGCAGGCAGACACACTAGTAGGCTAGTGCCATAATCCAGGCATGATGTGAAGGGGGCTGGTACTAGATTGGTGGCAGTGTTAGGAGAGACGGCATATTTGAGATGTTGCAAAGGTGAAATCGACACTTTGGCAACAGACTGGATTTGGGGTTTGGGAAATAAGAGTCAAGGATGACTTCTAGGTTGTGAGCCTGAGGGACTGGGAGGATGGTGTTGCCCTCTACAGTAATAGGGAAGGTAGGTGGAGGGGAGGGCTTATGTGTGGGGTAGGGGGATGAGTGCAGTTTTAGACACGGCAATATTAAGATGGATAGCCAGTTTGAGATGTCTGAAAGGCAGCTGGAGATACGAGATTAAGAGGTCAGTAGAGGCTAGGGCAGGAAAGGTAGGTTTTGAGAATCGTTGGCATAGAACCGGTAATTAAACCCACGGGAGCTGAAGTGATCACCAAGTGCAGTAGTATGTAGAAGAGAAGAGAGCCCAGGGCAGAATTCTGAGTGACACTTGGAATTAGAAGGCATGGTCTGGAGGAAGATTCAGCAAAGGAGACTGAGGAATGGTCTGACAGGGGAGAGGGACGGGTGTCTCATAAACCTACAGAAAAAAAGCATCGAGGGGGAGAGAGTAATGAACAGTGTCAAAGGGTGCAGAAAAGTCACAGAGGACTAAGCATTGAAAAAAGGCTATTGGATTTGTCAATTAGGATAACACTGGAGAGAGCAGTTTTGGTAAGTGGGAAAGTAGTGGGAATGACAATCTTTTAGAGGAGACAGGATGGGATGGGATTGCTCGCCTCTTCATGTTAGATGGGTGAAAGAAGCAATAGTGGCAGAAGTGATAGGAGATGAGAAAGTGGGGAGAAGAGGGAGCTTGTAGCTTTACAGGTACGGCAGGGAGAACTCTGACAAGGTGACCAGTATAGCTGCTTATAAACCCATCTTAAGCTAAACCCAAGTAGTGGATGCCGTGCTATTCTGATGCTTCCATATTTACGCTTGACTTTTTCTCAAAGCTCAGTGTTCCAATAAATATCTGTAGATAAGGACTAGATGGACCTTTCCCGTCCATTCCCAAACAACCACCTTTATCAACATACACTTTCCTCACTGTCACCAGTGTTGAGCAGAGGATGGGGCTTTAAGCATCAATGAGAAAAAGCACCACCCACTACTTGTAAATGTCCTTATTTAATATTGCAGATAAACGAGGTCAAGGTACAGCTGTGCTTTTGGTTTTTGGTAACAATATGGTCGCATTCACCACTAGTGAGAAGAAGGAAAATTACAGGAAATTTTTATTTTGTTCAGAATTGGGGTCAGGAATCTAACTGGCATCCAGGTCTCTGGGTTACAGATTACAGTCTCATCCTCTGCTGAGAAGAAAACTGGAAAAGTTCTCCCTCATGATAAAGGCCTAAATGATAGCATGTTTAAGTGTCCGGCAAGTATTCTGGGGTAGGAAGAGAACCACTTCCCTTCTTACCTGCTTTCATAGCACAACCAAGAATCCCTGGAATGTCCAGGACACCTGGGGCTGGGGGTGGTAGGAAAACAAACTAACAACAAAAAAAGCCCAATTCTCCTCTTCAGGCATTGTAACTATGTAATAAGCCCTTACCCCACGTGGCATGTGGCTAATTTTACTTTTGTGGTAGCCACAGGGCAAATACTCAGTGTTGGCTAGATCCTCCAAAGGATTAGATGTCACTGGCTTTCAGATTCATTCCCTTACCAAATGATATTTCTAAATTCTTGTTTTTGGACCATAGCTAAGCCATGCATTGTTTTCAGTAGCTAATGCTCAATTTCTATTGCTGTATTCTCAATTATTTATCACTTTATATTTATCATGTTGGGTGGAGATGAATCTGGCATTTCTCTGAAATTCCAATTTCAATAAAATCTAGGATACCATGGAGGCTAAATGCTAAGACACTGCTAAAGTGTTTAATGAGAAGCAACATAATGTTGTGCACCTTGGCTGACTTTGGAGTCAGAAGACATGAGTTCTAGTCCTGCTTCTGATGTACACTGACTGTAACCATAGACAAGTTACTTAAACTTCTTAGTGCCCGTGGCAACTGTCTAAGAATAAGTTGCATGGTCAGTGGAAGGACTCTCCACACCTAAGAGTTCCTTACACCCAGAATTCACAGGTCAGAACCAAAAAAAAAGTTGAACAGTTCTGTGGAATAGACAAAAGAAATAGTTTTTCAAATGTATAGAGCCTTCCAGGAGGGATTAGGGATGAGTTGTATACTGAAGATTAACAGGCTTAAGTAATTTTTGAGAAGTTCAAACCACTGGAACAAAAATCCTGATATTCCTTCTGACTCAAAGGATTGTACTGATTGACAGGAGAGATCAAAACTAGCAACTTGGAACTGCTAGGAGATGTGGTTTCTCCCATCAGACCCTGGCTAGTCCCATTCAAATTTTTTTTTTTCACAATTAAAGACATGCGTGTTTCTGGGATGCATCTCCTTCCCCTTCTGAGCTCAGCCTAATTTCCTTAGTTCCTTTTCCCTGCCACAAGAGGCTACCCAGTGCCCTGCAGTAAACAGCTCTACCACCTTCCCCACTGGCTAGACCCTTTAATTAATGTTTCCATTAGTTCAATTGTTGCACATACCACTACCAAACCAAGATCAGGAGGCATGTGCTTGGTCTTCAATGAAGCCTCTCTGAAGAAAGACTAGGAGTCCTTTGCTTTCCTTTCCTTTTTGGCTCTCATTGCCATGAGATAGAAGAAGAGCCGAGGAGACAGAGTTCTCAGGGAGATGGCCAAACAGGGCAGCAGGTCTGCCACCATCACTTCCTTCTTCTTCTTCCCCACAGCTGTGAGAACTGCCTGAGCCACCTCTGCAGGACTTCTGCCACTGGCCGTCGTCTTGTCCGTAACTAAAAAATAAAGTCAGAAATCCTAGTACATAAAGCTTTAAGTCAACGTGAAGAAAGAAAAATCAGCTGGTCAAATTTCCCTACAAGGAGGCTACTTGTGCCTCAGGAGGAGGGTGGGGTTACCACCGTTCTGTGGTTCTTTAGGCCACGTGCTGCGGTAGGAAGCACCAGTTGGTCAGCACATCTCAACGGAAAGAGTTGACTGATGCTTAGCCCATCTGTATTTGATTTATGCTTTCACCATTGGCTTCATTTACCTTTGTGACCTTGGGCAAGTCACAAGATTCCTTCTAGAACAAACATTCTATAATTTTTCTTTCCTTATTAAAAAAAAAAGGTTCAGATGTTCACCAGACTATCTTATATTATACAGTAATTCAAGAAAGTCCCCAACTGGCTAAAAATATGTACCCTACACAGGTTGGCTATAATCTCATTTATCAATTTATTAATAATAATAGTTAACATTTATATAGAGTTTACTATGTACCAGGCACTAATGTGCTAGGCACTTTACAATTATCTCATTTGAGTCTCACAACATAAATGTTATTATCCTCATTTTACAAATAAGGAAACTGAGGCAAAGGTTAAGTGACTTGCCCAGGGCCACATAGCTGGTAAGTGTCTGAGATCACATTTGAACTCAGGTCTTCATGACTCCACGCCCAGTACTCAACTGTGCCCCCAGCTACCTATTATTAAAGGACTACTATGTTGTAGGTACCAGAATGAAATATATTCAGTCTCAAGAAAGAGAACAGTGTTCCACAGGAGCTGTTGCCATTTAATATTTTCATCACTGGCAGGAATGATGAAAGAAAAAGCATGTTTATTGGAGTTTGCAGCTGAAACCATCTACAGAGATATGACCAGCACCCTGGGAGATTAAAAACAAAATTCAAAGTGCCCTTTGTAAGCAGTATCTGTGGAAGAAAAACAATTTACCCAAATTTAAAATAGAAAAGAACCAACTATGTACAAGTATGACTTAAAAAGATAGAAGGGTCACTATGGAAAACAAGTTGACTACAACTGGTATTAACAGAACTGTAATTTTGAAAGTCAGTACAATACTGGGTGGGGAACAACAAACAACGTAGACTTTCATTTTTCATAGACAGTACTAAAGCTAAACTATGTATTACAACCCGATCTAAATATGTACACTCAATAGTGACTACGATATAAAGCTAGCAACATTTTTGTTCATACTTCTTAAGTATTTTTGGAATCTGCTTGAATTAACATTATTGATTCTTCTTTGTGTTATTGTGGAATAGTCACAATTATTATCTTATACTCAGAACTTTATCATGATAAGTTCTATGTTATACTCCACATCAAAAGAGGGATGGACATGGACAACAGAGAAAATTTAGAAGAACAAAAAAAGGGGGAAAAAGACAAGGGCTAAAAAATAAGACCTACGTTGGAGGGTTAAGGAAACTGAAATTAATCAAAGCCTAGATGAGAAAAGGCCATGTTAGGTAATGGCCAGCTATACTTCACCTCTAGTGAGGGTACAAAGTGCAGCCCAGGTTTGCTCAGCAGCCAGGAGACTACTTAACTATAAGAAGTTCCTACCACTTAGAGCCTGCTCCAGTTTATCGATGAAGCTCCAAACTCTCCCAAGCTCTCGTTCCATATCACAAACTGCCTGGTGGACATCTCCATCTATTGGATGTGTTTAATAGTCACTTCAAACTCAACTCGTCCAAAATGAACATATTATCTTGCCCCCTCCTGAAAGTGTCCCCCTTTCTGCTGAGGCCACTGCCATCCTTCCAGTACCCCAGGTCTGAAAGCCTGGAGTCACCCTAAGCTCTCACCTCTCTCACGTCTCTCTTCACCCTTGTGGACATCACTTCCACCACATCTCTCCTCTCCATCTCCTTTCCACCTCTTCACATGGCCTTCTTCATGTCTCTTAGGGACTATTGCAGTAACTTCTTAACTGGTCTCCTTTCTTGGGTCTCTCTTCTCCAAAGCATCCCCAACATGGATAGCAAAATAATCTTCCTACGGCACAGATCTTGCATTGTCAGTGTGCACAGATCAAGAATTGTCAGTGGCTCCCTAGTCCATCTGAGATAAAGTACAAGTTCCTCAGTGTGACATTTAAATCCCTTCACAATCTGGCCCCAGTCCAGCTTTCTAGGTAGTTCACATCACTTCCCTTCATATACTCTACATCCCAGCAGACCAACCTACTTGCTGTTCCTTGAACTCGGCATCCCAATTTCCTACCTCCATGACTTAGCACAGGCTGTTCCCCTGATGTTGAAGGCAAACCCCTCCTTAATTACGAAAAACCCTAGTTGTCTTAAAGGCTCAGTTCATGTGCTGCCTCCTACAGGAAGCCCTTCCTGATATACCTAATTTTTAGCCCTCTCTTCCTCAATTTATCTGGCATTCACCTATCTGTTTACATGTTGTATCCCTGGGCAGAATATACATTCATGAGGGCAGAGATTATTTTTTGTTTTTGTCTTTATATCTTCAACACTTAGCAAAGTGTCCTGCAGAGTCATACAAAGAATTTCAGAATTGGAAGGGACCTCTGGACTTCATCTATGCCTATGTATACCTGGACAAGAACAACACTCCCACCCTTCAACCCTCACTGCCCCCTCCCCTCCCAAGTATCCAAGACATAAGTAATTATTCCAGCCTTCCCTAGAAGATAGTTTTGCCTCAGAAGTCTAGGGGCTAACTTTTAATAATAATAATAATAATAATGATAATAATAATAATAATAGCTAACATTTATATAGCACTTACTGATGAGATTCAAATGGACTGGTCAATGAGAAGCCCATTATCTCAAGTACCATTTAAAGCGACTTTAGGAGATAATGAGATTCAAGTAGACTGGCCAACGGAATAATGATGTGTCTAGATAAGCTCAAAACTGAACTACCACAGTCCCCTTGCCTACAAGTCCTTGGTTACTTCACCTTCCAGTTCACCTTTCTGTACCTGATTACCTCATCTCCCCATCCATGGCAGGCTTTCCTCTATAAGAATCCCCAGCTTCTCCTGGCTAGGGTGGGCTGTCTATCTTAAGGAACTGCTGACTCCATTAAGGAGCTGCATTTCCCCCCCCCCCCCCCCCCCGGCCACACACACACATACACCTTTAAGCTGGGGCCTTCCACAAGTTGTTGCAACTTCCCTTAAGGAGAGGCCTGCTTGGTGTGTTACCAGAAAAATGCCTTTACTTGATTTGGAGATAGCCTGAGGAATTCCACCTTGCACCTCATCATTTCCGCCCTGAACCTCTTCATTTACTATGTGTCCGGTACTGCTAAACACTTCACAATTATTATCTCATTTGATCCTCACAACAAACCTGGTTCGTACAGAGCTATTATTATCACCCCCTGAGGCCATATTTGAACTCTGGTCCCTCTGACTACAGGCCCTGCCAGCCCCTCTCCCAGCCCACCCACCACTTTAACTGCCTCTTTCTCTTACCTCCCAAAGCAGCCCATTCCACATAACGTAAGCTTTACTTGTTAAGAAGTTAGTCCTTACACCAAGTCTAGAACTATACCTTTAACTTTTTCCCATTACTCCTAACTGTGGCTGCTAGAGTTAAGCTAAACAAATTAAATCCCTCTCCCTAGGACAAGCCTTCAAATCCTTGAACAGTGATTCAGTCTCCATCAATGCTTTTCTTCTCCAGGCTAAACATCTCCAGGTCATTCATTGGTTCTCCAATGACCCACTAGTTGTATGAACTCCTCAATATTCTTTGCTAGGGTACAGGAATCCATCTCTTTTAAGATTTCTTGAACTTTAACTTTAAAACTATTACTCAATGGATGATTTATGGTTGCTGAATTAACTGATCAAGTGAGAGGATGTATGTAAAGTGTTTTGTTTAGCAAGTGCTATATAAATGCCAGCTGTCCCTATGGATCCTAGAGTAGTGCTTGGGAATCTCTTTTCCTAAGCCTTTACAGAACCCCTGTGGTGTATATGGGCTCTGGGCTAGGTCCCAGGGGTACAAGGATAGAAACAAAATAGTCCCACCAGAAGCTGACATTCTGTCAGAGGGAAACAGGGAAGTACTTCTAGGGAGTAGATGCAAATCTATACCAAGTAGTTTCGGGAGGTGGGAAGACAAACAACAGTGGGAGGGGGCATCAGGAAAGGCCTCTGGTAATCTTTCTGTAGGCAGAAGCAGAGACTTGATGAACTCTCAAGGTCATTCCAAACTATAATTCTGTGAGTCAGTAATAGTCCCTATGTTTTATATGGGGTGTACTAACTTTGGAAAATGACTAATGGGAAGGATTACCAAAGGCATTGAAATCTCCTTCAGTCTTGTGTTATCTTCAGTCAGTCAGTCAACAAGCATTTATTAAGCAGCTACCGAGAGCTAGTATGGTACAAAGACAGTCCCTGCCCTTGGGGGGTGACAGAACTCCCAGTCTAATTGGAGAGAACAGTAAGGTAGAAATGATGCTGGATTTGGAATCAGAGGATCCAGGTTTGATTAAGACCCAAATGACCTTAGCCAAGTCATTTAACCTCTCCAGGCCTCAGTTTCCTTATCTGTAAAATGAGGAAGTTGGAAATAAAATAAAACCAGTCAGTTGTACTAGATGACCTCTAAGGTCCTTTCCAGATAAAAATCTATAATCCTCTGATTCTAATTAAATACTGTCTAGAGATATAGGATAGACTAAAAGGCCTTCAGAAGCTCCCTCAAGCCTTATGACTTCACTTTTCCAACTGAGGGAAAGGATGGGGACCAAACGTATGATTTCTTGGGGATAGTGAACTCTCAGGTGAGAAAGATCCCTCTACCATTACGGGCCAGCACTTTCTCTGCAACTTATTAGTCTTACCCAGATGAGTTGACTACAATAGCATTCACATTTATATAGCACCTGCTTTGAAATCTTGTAGTGTAGGTAATGCAATTATTAGTATTTCCATTAAGGCTCAGGGGAAGTAATCCTTTGCAACAATCTAATTTTAATAGTGGCTACCATACTTCTGGTTAACCATTCCTTTTGTATGATACTTGACATCTGTGCAAAAATAGTAAAAGTAAATGACTGATAAATGTGTTTTGAACCTACCCCCCCAAACCTTATCATTCTTATAAGTTGGGTTCTCAAAGATTCAATGACTTGTCCAGGGTCCCCCAGCCAGGATATATCAGAGGCCAACTCTCCAGTTACTGGGCCATGTTGCATCTCTTCCATCTAATCTATATATGCCTCAATGTTCACCTGGGAGTCAGTATCACAGGCAGATGCCCTGGTGCTCAGGCTAATCTTCTAATTAGTAAACAAATGGTAATTCAGTTAGCAACACTTTAACAATTAGAGATTATAACTGAAGGCTGTTCTGTTATAGGATCATAGATTTAGAGATGTAAGGGACCTCAGAGGTCAAGTCCGTCCTCCTCTTCTTTCAGAGGACTGACCTGCCAACAGTCACAAAGCTAGTGTCTTGAGGCAGTATTTAAACCTAGGACCAAGATCAGGCACAGAATAAAAACATTCTCAGGAGAGGTAATCTGTTGGTTTTCTAAGTGAAGTGTGACTAGCTACTAGGAAAATACAGGCAGATGAACACCCAACAGAAGACCATGGGTAACTATTATTTGACAGTCAAAACTAATTTTTCCCCATTGTATTTGTTAATATAAATAAATGGTAGTGTACTCATTATTGCTAATTTGAAAATGAGCTCAGAAAATGAGCTCAAGGCAACAGTTTTGTAAGTATCAATCCTACTAGCCCTATGCCTCTGAAAGTCATGATTTATGCTGTAAGAGAGAAAAACAAGCCAGCAAGAAAGTCGTGTCTCCTGATTAGTGACAATCAACCTTAAATATGTGTGTGTGTTTACATATATATGTATATATTCATATATATGGGTGGATGGATGGATGGGTGGATGGATGGATCTTATCAGATACTTTGCTTCTGGACTTCTGTTACTGGTGAACTTCTTGTTGGAGTTTATATGTTAAAAAAAACCTGTGCCTCAATAACTTCCCTGAACTCCAGTCTTACATTTCAAACGACTCACTCCCTCAATGTCCCATAAGTACCTCAAACCCTACATATACAAACTTTAATTTATCATTTTCCCTTTTAAAAAAAAAATCCCTTCTCTCAACTTACCTGTGGTTTTTACTGATGGAACCATCATTCTCCCAGTTACCCAAGCTCAAAATTTCAGAAACATTTTTAACTCTTTCCTCTTCCTCCACTATAATATCCAATTAGATCCCAAATCCTGTTGATTCTAGTTCCATAGTCTCTCTCATCTCATCCATCTTGTGCTAAGGAGTCAGGAAGACCTGAATTCAAATCCAGCTTCAGATATTTACTATCCATGAAACCCTGGGGAAGTCACTTAACCTTTGCCTGCCTCAGTTTTTTCAAACTGTAACGTGGGCCTGTAACATAATAGTACATGCCTTGCAGGGTTGTTGTGTGGATCCAATGAGATAATATTGTAAAGCACTTAGCGAAGTACTTTTGGCACATAGCAGATGCTTAATAAATGTTTGTTCTCTTTCTCCTCTCCTCCCAACCAGTATTCATAATATCACCATTCCTGTTTGGGTCCTCAGTGCTTTTCAATTGTACTACATATTATAATGTTCTTCTCATTGCTGTCTCTGCTTCAAGTCTTTACTTTTCAATTCATTCTTCTTCACATTACTTTTCCAAGATTATCTTTCTAAAACATGGGTTGGACTATGTCAACTCCTCATCCAAATACCCATAAGAGAAAATAAAAACTTGGCAGCCTGGCATTTAACAAACTGGATCCAACCTATTGTTCTAGTCTCATTCCATTTTATTCTCCTCACAAACTCTATTTTCTAGCCTCCTACTATTACTACTGCTGCTATTCTCCATCTCATTTTAGGTTTTCTCACCTCTGTGCATTTGCATACACTACCAGATCTGGCAGAAGTTATCCCACATCTCACTGAAATCCTTCTCTTCCTTCCAGAGCCAGTTCAAGTACCACCATGGCCTCCATGAAGCTTGCCTAACCCCCCAGCTCAAAGTGATGTTTCCCTTTTCCTCCTCTTTCTCAGAGCACTTTGTCTAGACGCTTTCCCTTTACCCTCATCAACTCTGAATCATATTTACTTGTGTCCATATCACATTCTCCCTGTTGGGTCCTTGAGGCCAGGGACAATGGTGTTTTTCAACTTTATACACCCTACTAAAACACTGGGCAGGCTTACACCAACCAATACATGTTTGCTTAATTGAAGGAGAATGAGGGACAACATGTCAGGAGCTGCCAGGACTGGAAGTCAAACTAAGCAAGAGAAGTCGCTGAGATCTTGTAGACCCAGATAGACGAGAGGTCAAATACAATGAAGACAGGAAAGAGAAGGTGGGTACTTAACAGGCCTAGGTAGATAGACTTGGTTCAGAGTCAGCAAGAGAGGCACAGCTGTACATTGTTTAAACTCTGACCCTAAATCAGAGGCTGCTTGGTTAGTTTCAACCCTGTTTTCTACTGCCTGCTAAGGCTAAACAGGACCTGAGGTGTTGCTCTTAACTAAAAAAAAAAAAAAAAAAAAAAAAAGCTTGCTCTTGTAAGGATACCCGAATGATTTCCAACAATCTCTGGAACAGCAGCAGATTCAGAGGGAGCCAATTGCTGTGACAACATGGAAGTTCTCTTTCATTTTCCAAGCATAAAGGGAGAAACAATGCCACCTTTAAGGTCATGACAATTTACAGATTCTGTAAATTTAATTAGTTTTAACTGATTCTCATGTCATATCTGAAGGAGGTTGAGAATTTTCAAGTTGGGGATTAATTGTTTTCAAGGCCCTCAGGCATCACAGAGGCCCTTCTCTAGAGTCAATGCATCTGATATCACATTGCTTAAACCTGACCAGTCGGGAGTCACAGGCTCTGGCTGAGGCATTGGGGAAGTGATTCAAGACTGGTCAGAGTTAGTGCCCAAGAATCAACCCTGGGATCTTTTCATTCTGGGGAACCTAGAAACAAGAATCCCACGTGATTTCACATGCCTGCAGCTATCAACGTTTCCTATCAGCACGGGGAAATTTGTTCCTTACCTCCATATTTGGATCCGTCTGCAGTAATGGCATTGAGAGAGAGATTGGTTTGGATATAGCCCGGACAGATTACAGTCACTTCAATTTCATGCTGTTCCATCTCTGCCCGAAGGCAGTCAAAGAATGCTTGGGTTGCATGCTTGGAGGCTGCATCTGCAAAACATAGTCACATAAGGAACACACAAAGGGAAGGAAACATTGACCCTAAAACAGATAACTTCATTCTTTATGCATTCCACTTTGTAAACCTTTTCCTCCGGTGTGTTTTCATTTAGAAATGCTGCAGAAATCACTCATCTGCTACAGAAATGTGCCCTTCTCAGCTTCCCAACTGAAGTGACTGCGGGGCACTGCGGAGGAATGTGGTACCTCTACAGGGCACAAATATCCCTAAAATATGGTTTTTAAGTATATAAATGGGAGACTCTCAACTGAAATTCAGAGTTCACTAAAATACAATGTTCTGAGCTTTTAAATCTAAGGAAAGAAAGGGTTATTTACCAGCCAGGAAGATAAGAGTAAAAATGACTACAAAACTAAGGAAAGGTCAAAGAAAGTCAAATGAAGGGAGTTAAACAGTTATTTCATGCACTGCACTGGGTTGCACTCCTCAGATCAGTTTTTGAATGACTTCTTTTCACAGGAAGGCAGCATGATTTGGGGGAAAGAATGCTGAAAATGTGAAACTTGGAGTCCTGGGATCTGAATTCAAAGGCCAACTCTGTCACCTTTCTGATCTTGGGGCACAGTCTCTCTCTGGATCTGTTTACTTATCTATAAAATGAAGGAGCTGGATTGGTGGCCTTTAAAATGCCTTCCAGAGCTAGATCTATGCAACTTGAGACTGACCGGATTCAGGGTTTTCAGGGGGTATGAGCTGGGAATGGGTGGTGAGGGATTCGTTCCTATCATCAGTGATTCTATTAATTCAGTCTAATCCTTAGGATTCTCAAGGGACTGGCTTACTTTTAGGGCTCCTCAAAGGTCTGGATTATTTTTCAGCAAGCCTCAAGTGCCAAACCAAAATTAGACACCAAAGCTACACACCAAATGTAACCTGTATCCTGCCAAAGGGATGCCAGAACCAATTTTGGCTCCCTAGAATCCTTGGGCCTAGGATTTTTCTATAGATAGGGTTTTAAAGGGCTTCAGAGTCCTAGTAGATAGCATCCGTAAGCCTAGTCAGTTCCAACCTAATCACAAGAGATTGGTGAGATCTTGATTCCATTTAATAATGTAATGGGACAGGTCTATTTGATTCAATTTTGTATTAGATGAACACAAAACTAATAGAATCTGGTTAAAAGTGAAAATTCATCAAAATTAAATGACCTAGTTTTTAAGAGATAACTTAGAAAGTGGCTAGTAAGTTCCATGCCAACAGAGAATTATAACAAAATGGTGGACAAAAGGAGAAAGATACTAATTTTTTATCACATTTCCAATTCAAATTTTTCTGGACACATCATGCTACTGAATTTCATATTTCCTCCATTAAATGTTTGTAACCTTCATTTTAACATTTCTTCAAGGATACTCATTACTATTCTTTGCCTTCCCTTTAGTTGATGGGTTCACAGGTTGGAAGAATGCAGAACTTTGAACAGGACTTCTTAGATTTCAATAAAGGATTTGAGGAGATACTTACATGCTGATCTGAAAGGAATACTGATTTTGCCCTGAATGCTGCTAATCACAACAATGTGACCTTGTTTCTTCTCTATCATGGAGGGCAGAATTGCTAAAGAAAGAGGAAAAGCCTTAGAATATGACAGATCACAATCACAGCAGTTAAAAAGCAAAATGTTTCATAAAAATAAAGCCATTATGCTAAACACATATAGCTCATCAGAACATTTATATAGTCTTAATTAGGCTCTTACTGCAGCAAGGCAATCTTTTTAGACCTCGATAATCTATTCAGCTGTCATTCAGCAAGGGCCAGCTGTTCCAAACCTTTTCAAACCTCCTCAAGCCTCTGATGGCACCCTTTTCAGCTGAGTACTTTGCCTCAGTACTTCACCAAAGAAATGGAGGACATTTAATCTCTCTATCCTTCTCCTCAATTCACATCCCTAAAAATCATCCTGCACTATCTCCCTCTTTCCAATCTCTGATGGAGGTGTCCTTCCTGCTTACAAAGACCAAACCCTAGATTCCATCCCATCTCCTCTAGCACATTGTCCCTTCCACCATCCCCATTATCTTACTAATCTTCGATATCTACCAATGTACTAGTTCCTTTCCTGTTGCCTATAAACACAACCATATCTGTCTCATCCTTGAAAAAACCCAATTTGATCCTTCCTAACTATCTATCATTTTATATCTGCTCACTGATGGCTAAACTCCTTAAGAAAGCCACCACTTCTCCTCTCATTCAATTTTAAACTCTACAATCTGGCTTCCAACTCCATCATTTAACTAAAACTGCTCTCTCCAAAGTTACCAATTGACAAACTTAATGGTTTCAATACTCATTCTTTACTTCTCTGTAGCCTTTGACACTGTTTATCATCTTCTTCTAGATACTCTCTCCTCTCTAGATTGCAGATGATTCCCAGATCCTAATCTAGTCCTAATCTCTAGTCTCACATCACTAACTGCCTTTGAGATCTTAAACTGGTCTAAAAATGTATAAAAACAGAACTCATCTTTCCTACCAAATTCCTCTACTCAACTTCCATATTACTATCAATTAGTAAATATTTATTAAGCACCTACTACACCTACACACCAGTGATATAAAAAAAAGGCAAAAAATAGTCACGGCTCCCAAGGAGCTCAAAATCTAATGGGTGAGATAAATGAACAAATACATACAAACAAGTTATATACAGGCTCACAACTTCAGTATCATCTTTGACTTCTCACTCATACCCCACATATTCAATCTGTTGCCAAGTCTTGTTTCTGCCTTCACAACATCTCTCTTATATCCCCTTCTTGCCATTAACACAAATGCCAACTTGGTGGATATCACTGCAATAGCTTTCTGGTTTGTCTCCCCCCACTCCAATCCATCCTCTCTACTCAGCTGCCAAAGTGATCTTTCTATAAAGTTCAGGGCTGACCATATTGACCCCACCTCCTTCATTAAACTCCAGTGGCTTCCCATTACCCCCAATCTCTTTCACTTCTAAAGCCTTTCACAACCTTGCCTCTCCCTCTTCTTACACTCTGTTCACTGCCATACACTCTATAATCCAGTGACACTGGCCTTCCTGCTGTTCCTTGAACTCAATATTTCATTTTCTAACTCAGTGTCATTTCCTCAGGTCTGAAATCCTCTGCCTCCCTGCTTCTCTAGCTTCCTTTAAGACAACTCAAATCCTATCTTCTGCAGGTGGCCTTTACCAGACCTCCTTCCTCACATTACCTCCACTGACCACCACCTCCTGCCCCGTTACTACTAGTGCCTTCTCTCAGAGATTAACTTCTGTTTATACTACATATATCTTGTATGTATAATGAGGTAGGTTTTTTTTTTGTTGTTGCATATTGTCTTCTTCCATTAGAACATGAGACCTTGCCTTTGCCCTTTTTTGTATCTGTTAAAAGACTGGGCCTGGTGGTGTTGAGACCATGACAATCTCCCCTTAAGGGAGGCTGTAAGCTTAAGAACATACTTAGGGAAAATAGGAACAATAATATTTTTGAAGGTTAGGGCAGCTGTGTCCCCTAAATAATATTTTGTCTACCACCAGCTTGTTTTTCTCCCTGATAACAAATCCCTAAAATAATATTTTGTTCTAACCTCTGATATACAAATCAGCCAGCTCCAGAGGGCCACCCAAAATCAGAGTATAAGAACCCCACTCTCAGAAGAGCACTCTGGAATACACCTTCCCACTGGAACACCCCCTTTCTGCTGAACGGAGCCATGTCTCCATGCTCCCCACATAGCGCTGTCCTTACATGAGTTATACTCTGTTAGTATGTCTCTGTGAGTTGTATGTTGGATCCCCTTTTCTTCTCTCCCCTTTGCCCTCTTCTCCATTGCTTGCAATAAAGCTTTGCACTGAACTGATTCCCACTGTTTTACATGGTATTCTCAGCATCCGAACTCATTAGGGAGTTGTTTTCCCCAACATCTCTGGCAGGCCCATGGGTTTTTCTTTAGACATAAACTGGGTCCCTGGACAAGTACTTAACCTATTAACAACTGCACCTGCACAGGGGGAGTATGGTACTTTGAGCCAGTTACAGAAAGCAAGGATCAATAGATGATCCTCACGTCCTCCCAGGAAGGACTCCCTTATGCCAGAGGACTATCATGAAACAATTGCTGAAAACAACATGTTAAACAATGGGAATCAGTTCAATGCAAAGCTTTAGATCAAGCAATGGGAAAGAGGGGGAAAGGATCAGAGGAAAAAAGGGGTATTGTGCTGGTCTTAAGACCATCAAGTCTAATCTCATAACAATGGTTTCCAGGTATAGATTCTATGAGCCATGGTCTCCCTTAAGGGGAGATTGCCATGATGGTCTCAACACCATCAGGCCCAATCTTATAATAGTAACTTCACTGCTTGGCACAGTGCCTGGCACATAATAGTGCTTTATTCATGTTGAATGCCTGACAGAGCAAAGGTGACAACTGTAGCTTCCTAAAGAGTAAAGACTGTCTCATTTATCTATGATCTCCCAAATAATCCTTTGCTCATAAAAGGTAAAAAGAAATAGGTGTTCAATGAAGGAATGAATGACAGCTTTAAATGTCAAATTCAATGTCCTTTCCCCCGCCTTTGAATGAAATTAATAGCAAGCACCACTCAAATTAAAAGCTAGGCTTGTTAAGTTCTCTCATGGAGGATAAGACGTGGGCATGAAAACCCTGTTTCCTGTTCCAATGGAGATTTTGACCAATAACAATTCACACTGAAAAGGAAAACTGTGGCAATGGAACTAAAACCTGGGGGAGCATCTTGAGATGAAGCTATAAACTAGAGATAGCCAAATTTGGACAAATGAAATAACCAGTAACCAAACTATTATGAAAACAAATGTACTAAGGTAAATTATGGGATGGGTAAGAAAGGGAGACTTGCTAGAGGGTGATTGAACAAGGAGCCAAGTTAAGTAAACTCCAAAATGACATTCCTCTATTTAAAAGAAATCCATAGTCATTGTACCTTTCGTTAACGCAACTGGACCAAAGTAGTTTGTCTCCATCACTTTTTTGTCCACCTCCAGGGCAGTATCCATTATTGTGCCTCGATAGCTGATCCCTGCATTATTGATTAATATGTCCACATGACCAGTGTATTTTAGGATTTCATTCGCTGCAGGAACTATAGTGTCTGAATCAGCAAGGTCAAACACTACAACATGAGGCTTGTGTGTCTGAATTTGAACAAACAAAACAGTAACACAATTCAGCTTCTGAGCAACAATCATTTGATCACCATATTCATGTTTTGCAGAGCTACGGGAAACCAGAAAAGAATCAAACGTTTTGAGAACTCCAAATGTGGCCAATTTCATCTTTGATTGGAAAGTTACCTAGGACCTCAGAAGGTGTATTGACCTAGCATAAAATTAAGCAGGTTATAATTACCCTCATCTTTCTACCTTTTAAAGCATTCCTTGCATAGAATGCTTCAAACTGGTATGAGAAGCTTTCAGCTTGAACTACAAATTATTCTCCTCCAAAGGCTATAATATAGGGAACTTCTTAGTAGTGAACTCAAGATATTTAATTACTGGTTTATCTTGCAGGTATGCTTGCCATCCTAGAATACCTGAGATCCATAAGTTCTAATAGGACCAGTATTCAAACCCAAAAGACATGGATATTTTGCCATTAATAACACATTACAAGGCACCTGCAAATTTCCCCAAAGAGATTTCTTTTCATTTCCTAATCCTTTTTGTTCATCATATTCTGAATCTACTTACTTAGGAGATGAAAAGTTAACTACTAAATAAAGTCAACTTTTAATTAATCAGAGACTAATTATCCAGGTTATGGATTGTTACACTTCCCCCTCCACTGGTTGGCTGCCTTTCAACCACAGTCATCAGCTCTTGTACTGAAAGAATGGCAGAAGAAAGAAAAGATGAAACTCATGTACATTGATTTTACTGGGGTAAGTGACTGATGAAAAATTGGTATGAGAAGGGCTTGAAACTATGGATGCCAATGATCTTTTCAACAGCTGTCTTCTGTTTCCTTGGCTATTTGAGAGCTGGCTATGATACACTAGGGATACAGGTACATGTATGACTAGACCAAGGTATGTATTGGACTACAGATGTCTAAAAGGCAGGAATCAGGTTTGTGTAACAACTCCTTTTGTACAACTAGCAGACACTACATACAATTAGGTACTTAAAAGCTGTTGATGACACTGAAGATGATGGTGATAAAAATATTGACAATGGCTGCAACTAACATATTTTTACATGTTGTGATGGATGATTCAGGAAAGTACAGAATATGTATCATAGGCAGTAACCTTGTTTTGCTGAAGCATAGAATAAAGATTAGGTATTAGTATGAAATTAGCCTATATCAGTAGGGTGGCAGATTGTAAAGGGGTTTACAATACCAGACCAAGGAGTTTGGACTTTGAAGTGTTGCACTGAAGAATGATATGATCTGGTTTATGCAGAAGCAAGAGTAATTTGGTACTAGTACAGGATGGGTTGGTGGGGAAAAGACAAGACATGAGGAAATCAGTTGGGAAGCTATTGTAAAAGTCTATGTGTGGTAATGTGGGCCTGTAATGGGACAATCCTAGCAGAAAGGATCTTACAGTTATTGAAAGATATTGTGTAAGTAAAACAGACAGAACTTGGTAACCAATTAGATGTAGGAAGGGAAGGAAAGGGAGTAATTAAAGAAAATGCTGACATTTCAAGCATATGTGACTGCCATTAACACAAACAGAGAAGTCAGAAGAAAGAGTAGGACTGGGAAGAAAGAGATTAAGTTCATACAATAATATTAATAATAATATGGATTGCTTATGCAACAAGGTACAATGTGGGAAGAAGCCAAAACAGAAAAGCTTTGCATACATCAACTATTAAGATATTGCACAAGGTGTAGGATGCTGAACAATGCATTCAACATTCAACAAACATTTACTGAAGGACTACTATAAACAATTCACTTTTTAAGTACTAGGAGGGACTCCCTCCTAAAAAAAATAAAAGGTCTCCGCTTTCAAGGAGGCACTCCTTCCTTTCAGACACTCCTCTCCAGGAGCCTCCCAGACTAAATACCCAAACCAGTGACCATGCTCTATATGATTCCTACCCTGGGGCCCTTCTTTCCCCATTGGTGACTGCTTCTCTTGGAATATATATATGTGTGTATGTGTGTGTCTATGTATATGCATGTACATATATGTGTATATATGTATATATATGGTTGTCCTTAGTTCTCGAAGAGGACCAAAATGAGATCCCTATGTTAGAGTCAAGTTACAGTGCGTCCGACTGTGGCTGGTCAGACCAATACGAGCTTGGAAGGCTCTACCACAGGTCAGGCATAAATAGTCCATATGAACATTTTGGGGGGATTCTCTAAATCTGTGCATCTGGGGTTTTTTTTTGAACTACTTCAGCTCTGCTTTGCTCAGAGAGCCCTGCACCCTGATGTGAGCATGCCACGCTGGGTGGTCCTGTGCCAGGGTCTCCCAAGTCATGCAATCCCCAGTCAAGCTTCACTTTCTTCTCTCCTTTCTAGCTAACCACCTTGCCCTCTTTCCTTCTGTTCCTCCCTCCCCTCTAGTTCTAGAATCAAATCAACTCTGCTAGGATTCAGGCTGGTGACAATCTAATCTCAGATGGCCCCCCACCCAAGCCACTACTCCTAGATGCTTACTGTTTTTCACATTAGAATGTAAACTCTTTGAGGGCCAGGACAGTTTTTGTATCTCCAGCCCTAAGCTGCACTTAGTATGAGTTGGCACTTTGGATGTGCTTAATTAATGATTTTTCATTCATTCAAGAAGCTTACAATCTATAAGGTGCAATGACATATTAAAATAATTACAATATAAATTAGAATATGAGAGGCCCTTCATTAAAGACCTCCTAAGGCTTGATGTTGACATGGACATCACTATGGATTCCAGAAGCTAATAAAAAGCAGATAGCAAACAGCAGACAAAAAAATAAAGCAGGAGCTTTCTAGTTTTCCAAACTGGAAAGGTAGAAAGGACAGGCCTGACAGCAGACCATATGTCTGTTGTCCGAGGACCAGAAAGGAAGGAAGGAAGAAAGAAAGAAAGAAGGAAAGAGAGGAAACTTTTATTAAGTACCTCCTATGTGTCAGAATCTGTACTAAGCATTTTACAAATATTATATCATTTGGTCCTTTCAACAACTGTGGGAAGATGCTACTATTATCCCTATGTTACAGATAAGGAAAAAGGCAGACAAAAGTTAAGTGACTTCTCAGGGTCACATAGCTAGTAATTAAGGCTGGATTTAAACTCAGGTCTTCCTGATTCCAGGCCCAGAATTCTATCCTTTATGCCACCTACAAGAAATTCAGGCACAGTCTGACATGCAATCTATATTTTGGAAGAACAGATTTCAAAGGGATTATAAAAGGGGTAAGAAGGATCCCATAGCCTAAAATTCCTTAGGGGAACTAAGCCCAGAAAAAATGGAAAGCTCTCAAGAATGAAATTTTGAAGAAACAAAGAGAATTGATGAGATAGGAAAAGGGCAGTTTTCTAATGGAACCAGTGTAGAGGCACAGAACTCATAACCAACATAGATGAAAAAAAGAAAAAACATACAGAAAAGGAAGGAGTTCTCAAAACAAAGAAATACAAACTATCAATAGCCATATGAAAAATCACTAAAATTAGAAAGAGAATTAGAACAACTCTAGGGTTCTAATTGACACTTATCAGATTGGCCAACATGACAAAAAAGAAAAATTGACTATTGTTGGAACAGTTTCTTTTTTTCTTGTGAGGCAATGGGGTTAAGTGACTTGCCCAGGGTCACACAGCTAGTAAATGTCAAGTGTCTGAGGCCCTCCTGACTCCAGGGCCGGTGCTCTACCCACTGCACCACCTAGTTGCCCTGAAACAGTTTCTAGAAGACAGGCAAACTGATACTCTGTTGGTGGATCTATAAATTGGTTCAGCTATTCTGTTTCATCAAGTGTTGGATCAAAAATTTTCCTTTGTTTTCCAATATTGATTCATAGATGTCTGAACTTGTTTACTAGATCTAGGGACTGTATTTTCTTCAGTTACAAATGTTTTCCCTGTTAATTTATCTGCTTTTGTTCAATCTTTGAGTTTTCTCCTTCCTGAGATCTTTAGTAATTTCAGTCTTTCCCTCCGATTTCCCCCTCTTCACTTTCCGACTGTCCCCCCCATAGTGATTTCCTTGGGGGCTGGATCTCAGAGTCTCAGCTTCCTTCCATGCTGGGCAATTCACAATTTACCAACCTAGGCCTCTGCCCCAAGTGACTTTTGGGTGGTCAGAACTGGCCCCAGATAGATGGTGTGTGCTTTCCTTCAAGCTTAGTGGAGCACTGCACAGTCTTGCACACAAACGGTGTCCTGTCCTGGTGATATATCCTGCTCCCTCTATTCCTCAGTTCTCTGGCTGCTATGCTCATGCTCTGGGTTGTCAATCCTAGCACCAGCAGGATTGCTGTCCAACTGGGCACTGGTACTGGTGCTACAGAGTTGTCTGCTCCCATACCAGCAATTCAGAACTTTGCAGTGCTGGTGCTACTGGGTTATGGTCTCCAATGTGCTTTTGTTGCTGAAGGGTTGCTGGCTGGCTGTTGCTGTCTGAGTAAACTTTCACAGCTGGAGCCAAGTCTCCACGGCACTGGAAAGAGGGAGGGGGACCCACTTGTTGGGTCCATGGGTTGGCTAGTGCACCCTCACGAGGTATATGGAGTGCTCAGGGAGGACTAGCACCGTTGGTGTGAGGGCCTGCCCAGCCCTTTTCAGGGCTGTTCATTCACCTTTGGTGTCCACCTGATTCATCCAACTCTCACCTGTGGCTTCAAGAAGCTGTAGTAGGCATAGTGACCACACCCTGGTAAACTGTTATGGCAGACAGGCTAACCCAGACTGAGGGGTAACTGAGAGGTTTCACACCTGTTGGTGAGTTAGGGGGATGTCTACCCTAAGCATATAAGATGGGCAGATGTCAATAATTTGTTCCAACAGCCACACTGTCAAAGACACCAAGGTCATCCACTGCATCCCTGGTCATAGCTAGCCATCTTGACTTTTGTCCTGCCACTGGACTTGGATAACTCAGGAAGAGAGAGAGAGAGAGAGAGAGAGAGAGAAGCAGATGACTTTGTGCAATTCTGCCTCATTTAAATCCAATTTACACACAAGCTACCACCCTGTGACGTCACTGGTCTGCTTCAAAAACGAAGGACAGACAATAACAGCAGCCTCACTACATGGGAGGTCTGGGTAGGGTGCTAAATGAACTCAGGATCAGTAAGCGTTAGTTCATTTTTTTTTTTTTGCTTTTTTCAATTTCCTTTTGGATTCTGAGTATCCTAGACCAATGGAGACAGCTGAAGTTGTTTTATCTTTGGCTTACTTCTATTTTGGAGAGGTATGAGAGGTCATAGGGATCAGAGAAAATATCTAAGTTATCTGAGCAGTTTTTTTGCTTTGTTTTGTTTTTAAGACTTTGAAGTAGTATGTCTAGGCTCTTTTTTTGATCATGGCTTCTCAGGTAGTCCAACGATTCTTAAATTATCTCTCCTTAATCTGTTTTCCAAGTCATTTGTTTTTGCTATGGGATACTTTACAGTTTCTTCTATTTTTTCCCCCAGTCTTTTGACTTTGTTTTAATTTTTCTTATTTTTTCACAGAGTCATAAGCTTCAATTTAGTCCATTCTAATTTTCAGGAACTTTGTTCCCTAGGCAAAATTTTGTACCTCTTATGCTAAGCTATTAATTTCCTTTCCAATTCTATCTCTCACAGATCTCATTTCTTTTCTAATTATTTTTCCTTTAATGCTCTTACTCACTTACAGAAAATATATTTAAAACTCCTGCTTCTCTGGGTCACCTCAGCTAGTCTTCAGGGTTTATATGTTTGTCAGTCTTTGTCCAGCACATCCATCCTCCAACCTCCTCTGAAACCTTTCAGCTGGAGAGTTCCCACCACTGCCTCATTGTTCTCCATGAAAAGGGCCAACTGAAAGTACATTAAGGACACTTTCTACAGTGTCCTGTTCCCTGTCACCTTATGGTAAAGAAACACTGGCAAAGGATTCATGGGGTAGCAGAGAATCTTTCACTACTATGGGAGATTTGATGATGAGCCAGAGGTAAAGAGGTTGCTTCTGCAAATGGGGGATGAGGTGTCAATAAATGGTCGTCCAATAATGGCCAGAGGCAAAAGAATCTGTCTTTATAGAGTGATAATATAATTAGCAACAATGAGTAATGTATACAAAAGAATAATGACAAGACCAATCTAGAAGATCTGAGTTCAAGTTCTAACTCTGCCATTTATTAGCATGTGACCATATCTCTCTGAGTCTCAACGTCCTAGGAATGCATATGTTACATGGTTGTTGTGAGAAAAGCAATCTGTAAATGGCAAAGCACTATGCAAATGAAAACTGTTATTGCCGTTCAATGGGATACAAGGAAGTGGGCAGAATCGACAGTATGAAGCCAAAGAAACTAGATGATAGATAGGCAGGTCAGAGGAAAGGTCTAAGATTCAAGCAGAGTTTTGAAAATGCATTAGTGCTCACTAAAAACAGGTTTTCGAGCCAGGTTCTATAGGGCTAGCGGGGGGTGGGGGGTGGGGGGGGGAGAACCTGCAGCCTCAAGGTCACATGTGCAGCCTCTAGGTCCTCAGGTGCAGCCTTTCGACTGAGTCTAAGTTTTATAGAACAAATCTTTTTATTAAGGAGACGTGTTCTGTAAAATTTGGCCTCCCAAGAAGACTGTTTTGAAGGGCAGTATTGACCTGCACATGTGAGCTTTGGTTTGTATGTTTTTAAAAGTCTTGTTATTTTTATTTTGCCTTTTTTTTTTTTTTTTTGGTGAGGCAATTGGTGTTAAGTGACTTGCTCAGGGTCACACAGCTAGTAAGTGTCATGTGTCTGAGGCCGTATTTGAACCAGGTCCTCCTGACTCCAAGGCTGGAGCTTTATCCACTGTGCCACCTAGCTGCCCCTAATTTTTATTTTGTTATACCTCATAAGGGAGGAATATAACAACACATGGTAAAAGCTTGAGGTGATACTGTCAACTTACAAGACAGTTATTATTGGCACCCCTTTCCCCACCCCCACAACACCAATGTTATCCAGGTGCTCTTTTATACTTCCTTATATTTTATCTACAACCACCTCCTTTCATGCTACACAAAGCATTCCTAGTCCTGGTATTAAAGGAGTTGAGTATTCTAGAAAGGGTCAAATGGCTCATTCATTCATTCAACAATCATTTATAAGGTGTTTATTAGGTACAAAACACTGTGATGGACAACGACAAAGCCTCCCTTTTGTTAAGTTTAAAAAAAAACCCAACAAATTTTGGCAAGAATCAAATTAACTGCAAGAGGGGGTGTTAGGACTGGTGAAAACGATCTGAGAAGAAAGATACATGAGAACTGATTCTTTTCATTTTTAAAAAAATGACTAATGCTATCAGACATAGCTGATATGTTGTTTGGACTTTTTTCTGCCTTTTTTGTTATTTGTTATAAGGGATGACTTTTTGGGTAGGGGAGATAGATGAGGTATTTAAACATTAAAATGATATAAAAACTATATATATGTGTATATATATATATATATTACAGACGTAGATGACATATGCAGAAATATATATCTATAACAATGTAATATATGTTTTTAAATGACCAGCTGTTACTTGAAAATTGGGTACTCTCTCTCTCTATCTATCTATCTATCCCCATGTGGTAGGGAATGAGCAACCACAACAGGAAACCAAAATTTCATCCAAGTTCCCAGTAACTCCAAAGCTACACAGTTTGCCATCTCTTAACTGAGAAAGTACCAAGTGCTCCTCAGTAAGATTGGGAACGTAGTTCTTTAGTCTGTTTGCCTCTGGTTCGGTTCTGATGTGTAATAACACTTCAGGAGATGTTACTGCCTCCAGTTTGAGAATATGAAGAAGCTCTGAATGAAAGGCCTAACTCTCCTGGACTTGAACGCACATCTCCCTCCTTCCATTCTTACCTTTCTATAGCGAGTAGCAGACAGCTCTCTGACGAGCTCTTCCAGCTTCTCTTGACTTCGTCCACAAAGAATTAACTTAGCACCGGCCGCATAAAAAACCTTAGCACATTCTATAAATGAAGATATAATAAGACCAGAAGTTTTATAGCTGAAAAGATCTAAAATCATTCTCTACTAATGTGATTAAATGGATACTTACTGAGAATTCAGAAGATAAAGATGACTGTCCCATGCACCTGCGCCAATACCTCCCATCTCCACTTCCACTGCCTCCTACCTCTGGGGCCCATGATCACAAACCTGACTCTCATTTTCATAATAGAGCCCCACAGCTCCTACTTCTGAACTGTCTTTCTAGAATATTAAAAACATAAAATCTGAGTTGTGATGTTAATTACAACTTAAAGCCACTCACTAAAAGAGGCAAAGTATGGTCAGGCACTGTGAACCCTCCCGCCCCCACCAGCCTGACATAACCCAAATGCTAGTTAGCATCAGCTCTGCCATTTATCCTAGACTTCTAGCTAAGTATGTTAAAAAGAGTAATAGTAGGGGTAGCTAGGTGGTGCAGTGGATACAGCACCTGCCCTGAAGTCAGGAGGACCCCGAGTTCAAATCTGGCCTCAGACCAAACACTTGACACTTACTAGCTATGTGACTCTGGGCAAGTCACTTAGTCCCAATTGCCTAAAAATAAAATAAAAAAAAAAGAGAGAAAAAGAGTACTAGTTCTGTGATATCATGAGCTCCATAGCAGTTCTATGTGATATAAATAACAAGGCTTCAGACCATAAAACAGTTTTTTAGTATCCAGGATGTAAAAGATACTTTTATCCTGGCATCCATATTTTTCAAGGAGTTCCATGTTGGAGAATTAATGCCTTCACAGACAAAAAAGAATGAAGAAGTAGGTATTTGTATTAAAGTACATTCTTTTAGTCTAAATCAGGGGTGGGAAACCTGCAGCCTGGAGGCCACATGTGGCCTTCCAGGTCCTTGGGTGTCCAAGCTTTACAGAACAAATCCTTTCATTGAGAAGATTTGTTCTGTGAAGTTTGGATTCAGTCAAACGGCCGCACTTGAGGACCTAGAGTTCCCTGTCCCTGTCTAAACACTCTTTCCCCAGTATTGTTTCACACTTCTTTGTAACTGTAAGAGATTACAGCAGGATTGGATAGTGAGTCACAAAACTGTTCTGTACATAGGGGCTCTTCTTCTGGAGGAAAAAAGTTCATCATTAAGTTCATCATCCCAGTTCTACTGGGTTTTTTTGTGTGTGTGGTTTTTTTTCTTTTGGCTAGGCAATGGTAACCCCAAGTGACTTGCCATGGGTCACACGGCTAGAAAGTCTGAGGACGCATTTGAACTCAGGTCATCCTGACTTCAGGGTCAGTGCTCTATCCACTGCGCCACCTAGCAGCCCCTTAGTTCTATTGTTTTAAATCCCTCCTAAAAGCCACTCTTACTTCTCACTAAAAGCCACTCCAAATGGTCTTCCTTCCTATTGCTCAACCTCAGTGCCAAATTTCTCTCACCAATTTTACACAACTATATATGTACATTATTTCTGTATGTAAAAAAATGCACTTGCATTGAATTCTCTGGGAGAAAGATATCATATCATTTAAACAAGGACATTTTCAATTGTGCTCATACGCGTACAGCCGTCTCTTAAACAAGAGTTAATAAATTCATTCAGTGGGTCAAGCGCGTGACTGGCAATAGAACACAAGTAAGACAGGAATTTGTTTTTTGTTTTTTATCTCCCTTGCTGAGCACAGTGTATGGCATATGACAGATGGCAGGTAATTGCTAAATGCTTGTTGAATGAATGTATGAGCCAGGATGCAGGCACAGAAGCTGCTTGAACACCAACTGTGGCCAAATTAAGAACAGGATCCATCATGGTGAAAGGTACATTTTTGTGCAGCCTTAGCGGGCATAGTCTTCTAGAGTCCATGTGGCGCTACGAGCTCAGGCCATCCCAGAACATGCAATCCCTCTAAGCAATGGGCCAAGCTTTCCAGAAGAAACTGTCAGAAAGATTTCTCCTCAACTCAGATGGCAACATTTTAGAGAGGAGGAATGTTCTCTGATGTTCTCTGTCATTCCCAAAGGAATATAAAAATTTTTGATGCAGGTCTGATGAAGGAATACAATGAACTACTTTGGGATATGCCCCAAAAGGGTAGGAAAGAACACAGAACTGAGAAGAGTAAATCTTAGGAAGGTCAGTATATAAATAGCTGTTGAAAAATGATAGCCCAAGCTCTACAACTAGCTCTGAGAGCAGCAAAGCCAAAATTGGAGGAAATGAACCCTGTACAGAGAGGAACTGAGATAGAACAACAGGCTGGAAAAGCATTCCATTTTCAGTCCTTAGGAAAGTTTTGTAGGAAAAAAAAATACAAGGGTAAGATGGGGAGCAGTGAGGGTCAGATAAGAGCTGTTGTCCTCAGAACTATCAATTATCTAGGCTATCACACAATTCTTCTCTGTTGAAAGATTTCTGGAATTTCCTCCTTAGTAAACATATGTTATCCCCTCACAAATTTGGGATGCAGGCTCCCTAAAATGGGAATATAAAAATATGTTGTTCCCTTAGTTGACAATATTACTGTTTACTCAAAGACAAACCCGTCCAAAAAGATAGTCATATGAAGTAAGGATCAAATAATCCTAAGAGATATCATAGCTCCTAAAAGGTTGAGGGCAGAAGAAAAGTTAGCAGATTTACCCAAGAATGGTATAAGTCTTCCTCTCAAACAAGATGATTTGCTTGTCTTTGACATTCCTACATGAATGAAGACTGAGTCCCTGAATCTGGCAATAGATTACGTGAAAATTAGAATGAACCAAAGAGAAGCTAATGATTTTATGAGATGACAAGAAATATTAAAATAAAGTCAAAAGACTGAAAAAAAATGGAAGTATAAATGTAAAAACTGAACTGGCAAACAGATCAAGGAGAGATAATTTAAGAATCATCGCACTACTTGAAAACTATTAACTGCACCAACCCCCCGCCAAAAAAAAGTCTAGACATTATATTTTAAGAAATTATTTTTAAAAAAATCTGCCTATCTCTTAGAACAAAAGGACAAAGTAAAAACTGAAAAAAATCTTCTGGTCACCTTCTGAAAGAAACTCCAAAATAAAAACTCTCAGGAACATTACAGAAAAAAATCAAAAGCTTCTAGGTCAAAGAAAGAAATATTTCAAGCAGACAAAAAAATGCCATCATTGAAGAGCCATAGTTAAGATCATAGAAGATTTAGCAGCTACTACTATAAAGAAGTGGAGAGCTTGGAATACAATACTCTAGAAGGCAAAAGGTATATAGGCTTACAACCAAGACTAATTCACCCAGCAAAACTGAGTTTAATCCTATAGGAAGAAAATGAATCTTTAATGAAACAAAAGATCTGTAAGCATTCCTGATGAAAGGACCAGCACTCCAATCTTGGGAGTGAAGAGAAATATAAAAGGATAAATATGAATGAGCAATCATGGGACTAAACAAAGATGAACTGTTTTACATTCTAATATGAAGAGATGATACATGTTCCCTTAGAACTCTATTATCACTTCAAGGATCACAGACATAGTTTAATAAGACAGAGAACCTATTCTGATGATCTTAAAAAAAAAAAAAAAGGAAATGTAAGGGAAAAGGAATTCTCTAGGCAAGAAAGGAAGAAAAAGGATGGGGGGAAAATCTCTTACATAATCTGAGTGAGCAAGAAGAAGCAAAACAAGGAGGAAGATGTAGAGGGAATGGATTGACACTTGAATCTTACTTTCATCTGAACTAGTAAATGAAAGAAGACACACACAATTGGGTGTAGAAATACATTTCAACCCAGGAAAACAGGAGGAAAAGGGCAGGGAGGGCAAATTAAGGGAGGGGTCAGTCCTAAAGGAAACAAACTCTAACCCTTGAGGGTGGGTTGGGAAGAGGAATTTAAAAGGAAAGGACAAGAGTCTTTGGCAAAGGAAAGAGAAAAGTGTCCAGGGAGAAGCAAAAGCACATATTATCAAACTTAGCATACCTTTGCTCTCTTTACCTGCTGCTTTTTTGAAAAGAGAAAGGGGAAAACTGATCAATGACCAACCACAATTCCAGAAGACTCATGATGAAATACAGGACCCACCCTAATGAGAGGTGACAAACTCAGGGCCCAGATTGATACATATATTTTTTTGGCCAACTGGAGAGCTTGTTTTGCTTGACTATGCATATTTGTTACAAAAGTTCCATTTTTCTTTCTTTCTCAAGGGTGGGGGGAGGGCAGGAGAGAGAAAAGACTTTCATCAGTTGAAAAAAATGAGATTAAGTTTAAAAAATGACAGTCTAGGTTGAATGCAGATAAGATCAGAAGGGAAACTGGGATTAGAAGGGAAATAACTGGAAAAAAAATCTTTGCAGCAAGTTTTTCTAATAAAGGCCTCATATATCCAAGATATTTAAAGAATATACATAAATATATATATATATTTCTTCATCTGCACTCTAGGTCTATCACCTGTCAGAAGGTGGGCAGCATGTTTGATCATGAGTCCTCTGGAATCATAAGTGGTCATGATATTGATCAGAGTTCTTAAGTCTCTCAAAGTTGTTTTCCTTTACATCATTGTATGCATTGTATAAATACATACATTTTTACATGACAAATGTGGGAATTTGTTTTGCTTAACTATATATATTTCTTACAAGGATTTTTTTTGTCCATAGAGTGGTAGGGAAAAAAAAAGAAATGCTTGCTAATTGAATAAAAATTAAATTCAAAAAAGAGATGGCAGGTAACTTTGAAGACAGCAGTTTCAGTTGAGTGATGATGTTAGAAGCCAAACTTCCAAGAGTTGAAAAGTGAGTAAGGGGAGAAGGGGAGGCATTGCTTGCAGACAGCTGGGTTTTTTTCCCCCTAGAAGCTTGGCTAAGAAAGGAGAGATATAGGATAATAGTATCAAGTAAGGAATTTTTGATAATTGAGGAGACCTGGCCATTTTTGTAGACAGTAAGGAAGGAATCAGAGAAGGAAGGCTGAAGATTAGAGAGAGGAGGAGGAGGAGGAAGACGGTGGGGACAATATGCTAGAAAAGATGGCAGGAATGAAATATCAAGGGTATGTGTAGAGGTGCCGCCCTTGGCAAGAAGTACCACCTCTTCATCAGAGACTGGAGTAAAAAAGGAGAAAATGGGGGATGTTATAGGGTAAAAAAAGAGCTCATGGTCCATGTCCTTATTTTCTCATTAAAGAGAGCAAGTGATGTAAGAGGATGGGGAAGAAAAAAGAAGGTTTGGAACAGCTTTTGTTGGGGGTGAGTTAGAAAATCAGTTAGAATGGAGCCAAAGGATTAACTTGCCAGAGTGAAGGTCTAGATAACATAAATTTGGAATGGGCCTAAGCAGCACGTTTGCATGACTTTCTCCAGCTCAATTTTGCAGCACAGAAATACAACAGAAGAAAGTAGATGGTGGGAGTAATCCAGGATTGGGATTTGGTAAAATGTGAGCAGCAATGGGACAGGGTCAAAATGGTAAACTTAAGAGTCTAGATTAAAAAAAGAAGAAAGTAATGACAGAGCAGTGGGGGTCCCACAAAGTAATGAGGAGTAGAGGGATTGGTGATCATAAGGAGGATTGAAAATAAGCTTAGGAGGAGTATGGCATAGGGAGAAATGGAATGACAGGCAGTTAAGATTAGATAAAGGAATTTCAGAGTTCTTGATTATGGAAGTAGAACAGTTACAGGTTATGTCAAGATCAAAAATGTAATTAACTATCCCTTTCTGTAGCTCAGGTAGAGCAGAAGAGTAGATCATGGGAGATGAATAGAGTAAGGAACTGGGAGATAAGATTAGGGTGTTTGAGGAAACATGAACAGGTTATATTGAAGTTCTCCAGTACAAGAGCAGAAGCTGGGATAGAGAAGTTCTGAGACAGTCAACTAGGCACTGAACTACAGAAAGCAGAGAAAATTAGCTGAGAGCCAGTAGATAACAGCCAGCAAGTTTTAGACTTTAGGGAGAAGTTGCTGAGTGAATGCAGAAGAGGAAGAATCTAGAAATGGCAATGGGGAGAAAGGAATATTCTGACTCCTCTTCATCAGCCAGCAACATACTTGGGAACCCACCTTTCCCCAGTCCAGAGGTTGCCCCTGTAATCACGACGACAGAATCCTGGATGTAGGCCTTCATTCGTATCCACTGCAGCAACTTGAAGAGACTGAAGACTCCCATGCAGCCAACGAGCAGGGGGATGATGGCCATGGAGGTGATATAATCCATCAGCTTTCCCTTCGGTACAATCCTCCTGAAGGTGTCAGGTGCAAAAAAACGAAAATGTTTGTGGCATACTAAGTAGAATTAATAATCCCCCTCTTTCTATCTGAGCAATATCCCAGATCTCTCTATTAGACCTAAGCTCTGAGCCTCAGCAAATACTGCCTCTTTCCCAAAACAATATACTAGGTATTTAGCTTCTGAAAAGCTCCTTTCCATTACTTTTGTTGATATTAACTTCTCTTCCCTGTGGCTTAGTTTGCTTACATATATATATTATATATATATATAAACACACATATATGTTACATATGTTATATATGTTATATATGTATATGTTATGTGTGTGTTATATATATTATATATGTTATATATATTATATATAAACATAAACATATATATATAAATATAATGCTATCCCATACAACAACTAACTTTGATGTTACTAAAGTTGCATTTACATTATTTATATTATTGTACTCACATTTGTGTTGCACCACTGAACTGCGGATATATTTCAAAACAAAACTCACTGGAGCTCAAACCATAGATTTTTTGGGGGGGAACTAGGGGAGATGGGGGGAAGGTTCTGAACCTTTTATCAGTGTAGGGAATTCCAGTTAAAGAAACTCCTTCCAGCAACTAATTCAGCTAGAAACTAGTTCAGCATCTGGGCTACTGAGAAGTTGAACCACACAGCTACTCTGTTTCAGAGGCAGGTCTTGACTCCCAGGCTAATTCTTTATCCATCATGCTACCCTCCCTCTCACAGATTTTATTTCTAATTTTTAGAGGCAATGCGATGATTTAGAATAAATCTAAGGGAAGGATTGGACAGAGTTGTAGTTTGAAAGTTAGAAGACCTGGATTCTCTTCTTAGTCAACCTCTACTCATGGTCTGACCATAGATACAAACCCCTTTGCATCCCAATGCTCTCTTTAACTCCAAAATTGAGGGGGTAGACCAGAAGATCTCTAAGATCCCTTTTAGCTCTTAGGGTCTATATTGATATAATATTTGGCTTTATGACTAAGAATGCTAGTAATGTGATTGTCTTTATGTTATAAGTAGCTAACAATATATCTGGGCTCACCTGATTTTCCACAACAAACCTAGATTTTTAGAACTGAAATGAGATTCGATTACTACTTTCAGTTGCATGACATTTTAGGAATAGAAAATCTCAGAACTAAAATGACAATAATTATACAAAACATGTAGGGTCTATTAAGAAGCAGTTCAGAAGTGGAAAGAGCATGAAACTTAAATCACCAGACTCAGGTTAAAATCATGGCTCTTCCACTTGCTAGGCATGTGACTTCAGACAAATCAATTAACCTATATTGAGCTTAGGTTTCCTCATGTGTGAAAAGGCAAATAGAACTTACAAGACCTAAGTCACAGGATGTAAGGAAAGCAATTTGTAAACCTTACAGCACCACATAAATGTAAGCAATTATTACCAACATCCCACAAAGGCTAATAAGCAACCACTTCCATATAAGCTTGGTGCATGACTCTGTCATAATGATCACCAAAAATATTTTGTATAAACCAGAACAGTCAAAATAGCTCAAGGAGGGCTCAGCGACAACCGAAAATAGGGATAACAAGGCTGTGGCATTTGTCTAAGCTTCAGATGACAGCACAAGTTATTAAATGTGGCTACATGATGTTGCTCCATAGCTTCAGTATGCACTAGGATTTTCCTAAGGGCCACAGGAAAGATGAACACAGAGCCAAGGGAAGGCTAAGGCAATCAACTAATCAATCAACAAGCATTTATTAAGCACCTACTATGTGCTGAGTATTGTGCTGAGTGCTAAGGATACAAATACAAAGAATGAAACAATTGCTGCTCTGGAAATAAGAAGCACTCTATCCTCTACAGTTCACAACACCTCTATGACTGAAAACATAATATTGCCTCAATAATTCCTGTCTAAAAGAAACGCCAAATTTCCTGCATGGTCAGCTTGTCAATCAGCAAGCATTTATTAACCGCCTACTATATATCAGGCACTGTGCAAAGGGCTGGGAAAACAAAAAAGGGCAAAAACACAATCCTTGCCCTCAAGGAGCTTACAGTTTAATGAGGAAGAAAAACACCCAAATAACAATGTACACACAACATATATGCAGCATAAATAGGAGGTAATCTCAGACTGTGCATTAGCAGTGAGAAGGAGTGGGAAAGGCTACTTGTAAGAAGTGGGATTTGAGCTCAGTCTTAAGGGAAGCCAAGAGGTGGAGGTGAGAAGGGACAACATTCCAGTAAAAAGGTCAGGAGATAGGGTGTTAGGCATGAGGAACAGCAAGAAGGTTGGTATAAATAGATCTTAAGACTACATGGAGAGGAGAAAAGTTTAAGAATACTGGAAAGGTAGGAAGAGACTAGGTTATAAAGGGCTTTAAAAGTCAGATGGAGGATTTTATATTTGATCCTAGAGGTCAGAGGGAACCACTGGAGTTTAATGTGTGTATGTATATGTGGGGGAGAGGGGAAGGTGACAGTGACATGGCAGGGGCAGGGGTGATCTTTAGGAAGATCACTTTTTGTAGCTGAGTGGAGGTAGACTGAAGTGGGGGGTGAAATGAAGTACATCCACCAGCAGGCTATTGCAATAGTCCAAGCATCAGGTGATAAGGGCCTGAACCAGGACGGGAGCAGTATCAGAGGAGAGAAGGGGGCATGTGGAGAGATGTCACAAAGATGAAATTGACAAGTCTTGGCAACAGGAGGGAAGGTGAACTGTGAGAAAAAGAGAGGAGTTAAGAATGACACCAAGGTTGCAAGTTAGGGCAGTTGGGAGGATGATGGTACCCTCTACAGTAACAGAGAAATTCAGAAGAAGGGAGGGTTTGGGGGGTGGGGAAAGATAATGAGTTCTCTTTTGGACATACACTGAGTTTGAGAAGTATACACGACATCCAGTACGAAATGTCTAATAGTTGGTGATGACACTGAAGGTCAGGAGAAGTTAGGGTTGGATAAACAGATCTGAGAATCACATGCATAGAGATGAAATGTGAACCCATAGGAACTGATGAGATCACTAAACAAGAGAGTATAGAGGGAGAAGAGGGCCTAGGACAGACCCTCGGAGCATAGCTATGATTAGCAGCTGAGACCTGGAGAAAGTTCCAGCAAAAGAAAGCATGGTAGTGGAAAAAAATATATCAACCCTATAATGTATTTTTTTTTTTTGGTGAGGTAATGAGAGTTAAGTGACTTGCCTAGGGTGACACAGCTAGTGAGTGTCAAGTGTCTGAGGCCAAATTTGAACTCAGGTCCTCCTGACTCCAAGACCAGAGCTTTATCCACTTTGCCATCTAGCTGCCACCCAATATCTTTTTTTTCTTTTTTTTTCACCCAATATCTTTTAATACTGTTGTCTTATCATGGTCTTTAGAATATGAAGACAGATGATCCAGTAAATGAAAATAATTTTTATTGTTTCTAAAATAAAATCAGAGCAAGGACAGAATCACATGCCAAAGGTCTGACCCTGAGAGTAGTTGTATACTACCCTCATATACTTCTGGACTATCCCAGTATCCCAGTCCCAAATGTCTTGCAGACTATTTCTACTTTGTTTCCTAACAACAAATAAATTTTATCCCTGCAATGTCACTGAGCCAGGATCACTAGGAAACAGCCAGCTGGCTGACTCAGTCTCCTAAAACCTAAAGGGACTCTTTAATTCCATAATCTTCATGTATTGTGGTTGATTATACATAAGACATAATGAAAATAAGGCTTTATCTAGATATCAGGCCATGTCTACAATGCTGATAAAAAGAATCAGCTCATTATTTGATCTATCAACTGCATTACTTGAATAATTATTTAAAGAGTATATATAAATTTCTACTATGCCTATCAAAATACATTCAGCTATTTCACCATAATCAAAATAAATAATCTGTTGTTGTTCAATCATTTCAGCTGTGTCCATCTCCTCCCGAACCCATTTGGGATTTTCTTGTCAATACTGAAGTAGTTTGCCATTTCCTTCGTCAACTCATTTTACAGATGAGGCAAACAGGGTTAAGTGATCTGCCTAGGGTCACACAGCTAGTTAAGTGTCTGAGGCTGGATTTGAACTTAGAAAGATGAGTCTTCCTGACTTCAGGCCCAGGACTCTACTGTGCCACCTAGTATCCATACGTAATTATCTGTAAAAATTATTCCCTTCCATTAACAACCATCCTATTTCTTATAAACACCCACTTTCTGCTAAGTGAATACATTTTCCCCTCTTCCTTCAAACTGCCAAACCTGGGCTTGGGCACACTGAGAATGAAAGTGATTTCCAAAGTACAGAGGTTTTTAGCCTGTGTACTATTACAGTTCAGCACTCTCAAGACATCACAGGCCAGATGATCATAGCCTATGGGCAGGGTAGCCCCTGACCTACTTTCACAGCTTCTAGGGTATATCCTGGGATTCAAGGACAAAAAAGATTCCTTAGAGTTCAGCTGGCACTGATGGATCAATGAGACCACGCCTGTGAAAAGTAGCAGAGTGAGACTGCTTCATTTAATGCCTATTAGTTTGATCAATCAAGAGAACTGATCAAAGTATGGGGGTAAACCCTTAGATAAATATGATTTTATATTCATTTTGACTTCTTTCATAAAATAACCTTGAGGGACAGTGGGATGGAAGTGGGAAGAAGTTAAGAGGGAAAAAAAACCCCCACAAAAACATATCTCCTTAAGAAGTGAGGTTAATAAAAGTTCTCTTTGTGACCTACATTCCTACTCCCTGATTGGATCAATTCTGGCCTTTTCCCTGGAGATGCAGGTCCTGCTTAGTGGGTCTAGCAGTCCAAAGCAGCTCCAGTAAGCTTGGTCTGTCCTGAGTCAACATCAGAATCACCCAAGGCCCTGAATCTCACAGACAATCCTAGAACCAAACTTAAGTCTCCCTTGGTTCCTGGAGATAAAGGAATACTCTGTTCTCTCTTCCAAGGTGCCTCATGGACCAGAGTTGTCCAATTCTTTTTCAGTTCACACCTACAACC